TAAAGAGCAAATTGTAGAAGAAAGTAGTCAAGTGTGGAAAGTGGTCAGTGTGTCCTCCAGTAGTCTAAGCCTATAGCAGCATAACTACAGAGATAACGTTGGATAACCTAGCCTTTTAGATGGAGGTATGTTGGAGGCAGGGCAAGGGAAAACTGTCTTTACTGACTGTATTCTCCACCTCCCTCTACTCCCCCTTTTGTCCAGATCTGGGCTAACATCAAATTTTAACCATAGGCCCTATCAAATAAAAATGTTTTAAGCCTAGTCTTAAAAGTAGACAAGGTGCCTGCCTCACGGACTAAAGCTGGGAGCTGGTTCCACAAGAGAGGAGCCTGATAACTAAAAGATCTGCCTCCCATCCTATTTTTAGATGTTATGGGAACCACCAGTAAATCTGCAGTCTGAGAACGAAGAGCTCGGTTAGGACCATAGGGAACATTCAGGTCACTGATGTATGATGGAGCTTGATTATTAAGAGCTTTATATGTGAGAAGAAGGATCTTAAAATCTATTCTAAATTTAACAGGCAGCCAATGTAGGGAAGCTAAGACATGAGAGATAGGATCTCTCTTTTTAATTCTCATCAGAACTCTAGCTGCAGCATTTTGGACAAGCTGAAGACTTTTAACTACATTATGTGGACTTCCTGAGAGTAATGAATTACAGTAATCCAGTCTTGATGTAATAAATGCATGAACTAGTTTTTCAGCATCACTCCTGGAAAGGATGGTTTTAATCTTAGCAATATCCCGAAGGTGGAAAAAGGAAATCCTACAAACCTGTTTAACGTGGGATTTGAATGACATGTCCAGGTCGAAAATAATACCAAGGTTCCTTACTTTGCTCTCGGAGATTAATGTAATGCCATTCAGGTCAGGTGATTGACCAAGCAATTTCCTATTCTGAATTTCGGGTCCAGAGATGAGAACTTCAGTCTTGTCTTGATTTAAAAGCAAAAAGTTTTGAGTCATACAATTTTTTATGTCTTCAACGCAAGCCTGTAATCTAACTAACCGATTAGGTTCATCAGAGTTAATGGATAGATATAACTGACCAAGCACTGAACCCTGTGGTACTCCACAAGTAACCCTGGAGCATGAAGAAGATTTGTCATGTTCATTTACAAAATGAAATCTATCTGAAACCTATCTATACCAAACTTACTGCTTGCGATGCGGACCAAGCTCTGACACCGGTCATTTGTGGACCTAACAGCTCATATCAGAGGTCCTGGTACCTCCTACTCTTAAAGGACCCCCTTAAGGGCCCCCCGAGGGAAGAGGTCGAACATTTTCTCCAAATCTACTAAACATGTGGTGTTCTCTTCAGCTTAAAAGTCTGCACTACATTTGAATTTGAACCAGCCATTGCTACTGGCTGACCAGTGGCTTTTGACGTTAGCCAGTATACGTATTGCAGCCAAGTAAATCTCTATGTTATCTGAATATATTTTGTTGGAAAATGTACTGCAAGTATAGTATTATTACTAATTAAGCCGTACCCATTTAAACATTAAAATACTTTTTCACTTTGTTTCCTCCCTGTACTAAAAATGACCCGAACCGTGAAACCAAGTGAAACAGGATTTTAGGTGTACTGTTACATCCCTAACAAATATTAATAGTAGCATTAGCTCATCTTTCCTGTAAGATGTACATACGTGAATCTTTCAGGTACATAATTTCCTTTGCTTAAGTTTTTTAAATCAGTTTTCTGACAGACACCTATTGTATTTTTTATTTTTATGGTATTTTCGTACTCAAGCCATTGGAAATTTCTGTGACCCTTTTCTGTGTATGTGACAAAAAAGTTCTATCTATATATCTATCCATCCATCTATCTATATATCTATCCATCCATCTATCTATATATCTATCCATCCATCCATCTATCCATCCATCCATCCATCCATGCATCCATCCAGCTGAGAGCAGGAGGTTTGGACCCAAAATGCAGAAGCCCAGACAACTCAGGCAGGAACGGTTGAATGAATGAAATTCCGTTCATTAGGATGATGGGTAAATATCCAAAGGGTCAGGAAGCCAAATCGAAAATCCAGAAAAAACTAAACTATAAAACAAAGCTCATTCGTGAGCAAGAACCTGGAGTTTCTGAGGAGGACAGAACAACGCTGACAAAGACAATGGACCAACAAACACTGAGGGACAAGACAGGGTTTTTAAACACAGAGGGGAGCAATCAGGGGAACAGGTGACAGGTGTGAGGAGTGAGGTCTAGAAGGGAAACAGGTGCCATCAATAAACTAAATGGGGAAAGAACTTAAGCAGAGGGGGAGATAAACCATAACCTATAAACACTAAATAACTAAACCTAAAGACTAAGGGCAAAGATAAACTACTAATGACTAGAGGGGTGAGGAGGACTAAAACAAATCAATAGGAACTACACGGGAGTGACTAGGAGGAAACATGAGAGAAGCCTAGAGGCAGCTGGGGAACACAAGGAGACACATGAGGAGAACCTGAAGTGGGCTGAGGAAGCATAAGGACACACAGAGCACAAGGGGACACATGAGGGGAATGCAGAACATGACACTATCTATCTATCTATCTATCTATCTATCTATCTATCTATCTATCTATCTATCTATCTATCTATCTATCTATCATCTATCTATCTATCTATCTATCTATCTATCTATCTATCTATCATCTATCTATCATCTATCTATCTATCTATCTATCTATCTATCTATCTATCTATCTATCTATCTATCTATCTATCTATCATCTATCTATCTATCTATCTATCTATCTATCTATCTATCATCTATCTATCATCTATCTATCTATCTATCTATCTATCTATCTATCATCTATCTATCTATCTATCTATCTATCTATCTATCTATCTATCTATCTATCTATCTATCTATCATCTATCTATCTATCTATCTATCTATATGTGCAGCAGACTACACTGGTTGTGTTCCACCCATAACTTAGCTCTGTGATTGAAGGTTCTCTGCAAAATCAGAACTTAGAAGCTACCAGAAGAGACAAAGTGCATCCTTGCTGGTTGAGTACATAGGCTGCTGTGGCTCTACTATTGACAGGTCAAAGGGCAGAGTCATGAGAGGCTGACAGCCACCAGGTCACACATGGAGTCTCTGCTGTAACACAGGTCAGTACTTATCTGTTGGGGGGGTTGTTGTACTGATACTGGGAGGGCTTCAGTGGAAAAACACTACACAGGCTGTGCTGGGAGGAGATAATTTACAGATTCTATTACACCCAGGTGAACGCATCTGTTTGCAAAGATCAGGTACTTTGTGTTACTTCACAAAAAAGCGGAACTTGAAAAGTGAGTTAATGTAGAAAAGGGTTAAATAAAAAATGAATCACTTTTGTATTTTTACACTATCCAGACAAGTAGTAACAACAAATACTTATATCAAGCTTTGCTTGAAGCATCCATATCATGATGGCAAAATAGTTTATTCAGGTTTTAAAAAATCCTTTTTTTTTAATTCTCTCTTCTGATCATTTGATGACTGTAAAAGTTTAAACTCAAATATGTTTAAGGCTGCAGCCTCCACACTCAAGTAGCTGTCATTCTGCAACGCATTAAAAGCAGGTTATCTTAGAGAGGGAGATATCTGCAAAATTCACATAACTACAGCCATTTGTTGTTGGAAAATGTTGATTGGCTATGAAGCCATTTTGAAGTGAAAACACTTAAAAGGTTAATTTGCATGTGTAATGATCATTTCATAAGGCTGTTATCTAGATTTTTCAGAGGCTCTTAAGATATGCTGATAACAAACAGATGGAGCTGACTTCAACTATTAATTACAAAGTTTAAAGCAAATATTTCACACAATTAGTCAGTGTTCAGAGTTTGTGTTGCGATCATTCTTAGCTATTAATTCACCGTAGACCAGTGCTTAAAGCTGACGGAGTTATAGCTGTTTTTGTGTTGATTAGTTGTGGCAGCCATCTTGAATGTGTTTCTCAATGCCAAGGAATGTTCCCTTAATGTCTTGGTCCTAGGAGATAAGTAATCAGGAATAGCCAAGGTGTGTTCCAATGTTCATGTTCTACCGAGGCGTCTGCTCTCCGTTTGTTGGCCATTTAGCTAGCTGAGCAAGGATACACGGGAGGTGTCTTAGTTTAGTCCTGGTCAAAAAATTTCCCAGAATACAGCACGGTATTTTCAAAAGGATGGCAGATCAGAAACCGGCAGCTACTTCGGGGGCAAATTTCAAGTTAAAATGTAAGTCAACTAATAGTAGCTATTGGGCTGATATCTGAAATGTTTTTTAGATCCAAAACAGTTATCTACAGTTAGTTAGTTGCTTAGTAGTTGCAGCTTCGATGGTTATAGCTGGTAGTAACTCGCTTACATATTTAATTTAACAAATTCTAAAAGTAAAAGGCTTGTTATATATTTATATTGAAACTTATAAATATGAAATGTAACATTATCTCGCATGTCACGTGATAATACGTGACCGCCGCCTGGCCTCGAAAGACATTGCCTTGCGAGGCCACGCGCCTTGACATTGAGAAACACCCAATGAGTTGAAGATGAACAAATTATAAGAATCCCGTCTGTGAAAAGACATATGACAAAAGAAGCAAAAACGTTAGCTTAATGCAGATGGTCCATATTGAAAGAATGTTCACTGAACTTAACTATTTACCTATAAAGCAACCATGCTACATGTGTCATGCTAGTGTTGATCTGTATTTTGTTTCCATCATGATGTTTAGCTACAATAGCCGTGGTGGCCATCTTGGATGGACTCCAAATGTTATTTAGTTGTGGATCCTATGATAATTAAACTTTTGGATTTCCTATACTTCGTTGATACTTGAAATGTTTTGCTAAAAAATACATCCAAAACACATTATTGCAAACTAAATCTAAATTAATTTAGTAGAAAAACAAGTTGTGCAAGTCCTGACTTATTTTCATGGTGCATCATTCAATAAATATTTTTAAACAGTTGAGTTTAAAGATAAAAAACATTAAAGTGCAGGCTTTCAAGACAAATCTTTATTTTAATTTTTTTAATGGCATTTAAAATCATAAAACAATAAGTTGTCTTTGTTACTGGTAGATGCTACAAGTGGCAGATATTTTAATCATTCGTTTTACCACAAGAAACATTTAATCAGTGTATAATCCATAATGACGCATGAAGACATTTATTAAGCAAACCAGATGATAGATGGTTAAAATGACAGACATATTAATGAACATAATTTTCTGTTTCTTGAAAAATAGGCCTACTGTCTTTCTTACTGTCTTCACTCATCAGTTATCCAATGCACCCAGCGTTGAAGTCATACCAAGACAACAGTTTCAGGTGATGAGGTAAGTGTCCCAAATCTACTCAAACTTACTACAGTGTAAAAACGATGACATCTGAGCACTTTTTGAGTATTTTTACTCAGCAGCGGGGTTGCTGATCTTGCCCATGAAGAGGATGCTCCTTGTTGAGTGCTCCATGATGAAGACCAAGAATGGCCTGTTAATTCTTACGGTTTCAGGAAGGCTCATGGGCATAATTTCGATGGTAGTGACAGCTGCTGCCTCTGTTCCTGTTTCATCCACACTCAGCACCGCCTTGTGGGAGGCCTACAGAGGAAACAGCAGGCAAAGTTTTTATTTGAAAAACTTCAAGTTGGAAAGGTCCTTCCTGTCATGTTTGATTGTCCTACCTTTGAGACTTTAAGCCTGGTCTCATCAGATATACCAGAGAAGTCAGCCTTTTCTCCAAAAGCATCTGTCATTCCCATTTCCTTCAGGGTCTCATCCAGAGAAGCATCAGCAGAGATGGAAAATTTGGGCATTAAAAGATTTATGTTACTGTGGAACGAGAAACCCATCAATTAAACAACACAACACTACACTTTAACAAGCGCAAACATATACATTTGATGCAGAAGAAACTTATATTTGCCCTACTTCTTGTTCAGGGAGTCATGCCAGTGCCTTATGTAGTCCTTGTTGATAAAGCCTTCCACAACCTGCATCTTGTCTTCATTGGGAAGGACAATCATCATGGAAGTATTGCCTTTGTAGGGCAGCAAAATGACAGTGGTGTGGTTGTCGTTGTCCTGGTAGAAATCAAAGCGTCCTGTCTTCTTCATCATGTCCACCTCAACTTTCGTGTTCTTGTCCACAAAGAATTCCTCCTTGGTCGTCAAGTTCTTGTTGAAGGGCCTCTCCCATTGTCCTGCAGGAAAACATGGCTAGATAAGCATTTCTTGAACATTTTGCTTGGTTGTTCAGATAATTTTGAAGTGCATTTATTTGAATTCATAAAAGAGAAGAACTGTGCATGCATGACATGTTTTGAAGATTTACCTCTGAAGTAGACATAGTTGATCAGAATCATAGCCATCTCAGTGTCTAAGTCCTTCACCATATTCTTGATTTTGTCATGGGTTTTAGTGGCAATATGTCGGTTGATCTGTTCTTTAGCCTCATCAGGATTGGCAAAGTTCACATTAAAGACCTCACCACTGTAGAACTGTTTAAGGTCTGTGAGAAATGCCTGCAGAGGATTGAAACCAGTACGGACGGCAACAGAGTTACCAACATCCAGCTTCTGGTTCTCCTGGCTATGGCCGAACATGTGTAAAATGTGCTTATAGGCTTCGTTGACTTGTGTCTGGTTCAGGGGGCTGTAGCCCAAGGCGGAAAACAGTTGGCTGTGGGTGTCACCGCGGGCCCCAGTGGCCAGCATGGACAGGGCAGTGGAGATGCCCAGTGGAGAGTAGAAGATGTTCTTTCCCTCAGCAGCCTTGGCGTTCAGATGTTTGTAGAGAGCAAAGGCAAAGTCTGCATTATGAGGGGACAGAACATGGCAGCTCATGTCGTCCTCATGGCTGTGCTTAGAGCCGTGGTGAAGATGGTGGTCTGCCCAAGCTACAGCCAGCAGTATGGCTGCCAGAGCACAACTAGCAAAGATCTGACGCATCTTCAAAGGCTGTCCACAGAGAAACAAGTAAGCCAGGTTAAACAACAGGAAGTCAAAATTGTATTGTGTAAGAAAAACCTTTCAATGTAGCCAACAGTTTCCCTGTTTTCAACTAAGTCTAAAGAGAGAAACATGAACGTCACCATATCTTTAGAGCTTCTTTCACTGAAAGCACTTTTTGGAACAATCACTTTCTGTACATGGATCTGCTTACCTTTTAACTGTCCCCTTTGCTGCAGAATGTTTGTCAGGAACTTCTCGCTTTTATACCGAAGCTCAGAGAAACAGCAGAAAGTTTGGTTAATAATTAACAACGAGCAGCCTTTCTTCTCTGTCCTGTATTGTACGATATCTGTCTGGTCCATCTGCAGTGTTGCAACACAACTCACTCAGCATGAAATCTAGTGAAAACAGTGGTGAGATAAAGAGCTGCTTTCAAAGATGTGTTTGCATTGTTCATCTGCAAGATTTCAGATTATAGTTTTCAGTGTCCAATCAAAAAATCTACACTGAAAGTTGAAAACCCACTTTTTTACTTAAGTGTTTAGCAACTGATAGTGTAACTGATTACAGCTGGGCTTTTGTAGGTATTTTTATTATCTTCTTGTTTTAACTTGTTTCTATTTTACCTTAAGATTTTATTAATGTTTTCATCCTATGTTTTGTGTGTGTTTTAATTGATGCTGTTGTTGTTTCAAATTCAATTCAAATTCAAAGATACTTCATTAATCCCAGAGGGAAATTAGAGAATTTTATTCTTTTAATTAATCTATTTTAATTTTGTTCTTTATTTGGGTGATGTTTCTCTTTCTGGTTGTGCAGTGCTTTGTTCATAGACGCTATATAAAGAAATTTACTGTCATTACTATTTTGTGTGTGTGTGTGTGTGCGCGCGTGTGTGTGTGTGTGTGTGTGTGTGTGTGTGTGTGTGTGTGTGTGTGTGTGTGTGTGTGTGTGTGTGTGTGTGTGTGTGTGTGTGTGTGTGTGTGTGTGTGTGTGTGTGTGTGTGTGTGTGTGTGTGTGTGTGTGTGTGTGTGTGTGTGTGATCATGGTTAAATGCTTCCTCTTCCTGTTTTTAAGTTGGATTTTGTAGTTCTTAAGCCTGATTTTTACGTCTCCGTCGGCTCAGATACGGAGTTACGCACATGCATTGACAGAGATGTTCTACCTTCAGACTTTTTATGGGCCGGGTAGCCCCAGTCGGCCCCAGCCTGGCCCGGTTGTTTCCACACATCCTTGTCTTAAGCCCATGTGGGCTGATTCTACCCACCAATCAGAGGCTTGCTCTAATGGAAGGTGTGAATTTGCTGTCAGCAGTGGGTGTGTTGGCCCTGGTCGGCCTGAAGCAGACCCCCTTGAGAAGAGGGCTGAGAATGAGCCTTGGTTGGTCCGGAAAAATACCAGGCCACCCAGATATGTAAACAACCTACGCTACCCGGTCCGGGCCGACCCGGTACAGATGGGAATGGCCCTTTAGTTGCCTGAGGAATCGTTGCAAAGTAATTCCCCGCCAGACCACCAGAGGGCGAAATGCCACCATTGCAGTCATGTATCCAGTGTAAGTATTGGATCTGCTTGGGCTGCCAGATCGGCTCAGGTCCTGCGCCTGCCGATGACATCACTCTACGGCAAACCCACCCTGCTTTCGCACATATGTTCTGGAAAGAGTTCAGCAAATTTGTTAACAAATTCTTGTTTCTTACCACCTAAATGTTTTCTTCATAACTGCCAAAAGCACAGCAGCTCTTATATGTGAACATTTTTTAAATGCATTTACATAATTAGCAGCCATTTCCATTTGTGTAAATGTGGAACTATTCTGCACATTTTGTTAGTTCTTATGTAAATAAATCCATTCATTCGTTCAAAATTGTTTTCATTTTGCCTCATTCAATCAAAATGAAGATCTTCTGAGGATCTCCATTTATCAGTTGATATTTTTGCATTTATTTTACATTTCACGAACATATTTTCCCCAAAAAGTGTTTTTGGACTACAGGACTACAACCACAAGGACCACAAACGCAAATTTGGTCGGACCAATCAAAATCTTTATTGTCAATGTGCAAACATAACTTTTACGAACGTGTTATTGTAACATCCATACATTCCACGTTCAGCCGATCATCTAGTGAGACCATCAACAGGCACAGGACCCTGAGCCGATCCGGTACCTACACCGGTCCATTATAATGTTTGCATTTATACTGTGTTCATGCATTTCAGACTTTTTAACATGAACTAATTTGTCCCTCACTCTTCTCCACTTCTTTATGTGGCGCCACCTCTAGACCCTAGCTTCCTGTGATTTCCATCCAAGAATAAAAAGTTTGTTGCCTATCTGTGTACTCATTCAGTCACGGGTGCATAAACGTTAATATCGTCAGACTTTTTCCATGAGACGTTCTTCAATCTGCTCTGTTTGCTGCCAGAAATCTTCTGCCCTCTTTTTAGTTTTTGACGGGGTGAGTGTTCTGTGACCGTGCTTGTTCTGTAGATTTGCTATAGCATGGCTGGTCTAAGTATGATAATAAAATTATTATACACAGCCATTCATTCTAATAGAAACATTGAGAAATTTCTGCTTAAATAATTAAATGTCCATTAGGTTAAACAGCGATGGAGTTATGAGCTATGGAGTTGGGACAGCAGTAATTCAGGAGGTAGAGAGGGTTGTCCAGTATTCGGAAGGCTGCAGGTTCAATCCTGGCTCCGACCAGAGAATTCTGCTGTTGTGTCCTTGGGCAAGACACTTAACCCGCCTTGCCTGGTGGTGATGGTCACCTCTGTCAGCGTGCCCCAGGGCAGTTGTGGCTACATCGCAGCTCATCACCACCAGTGTGTGAATGTGTGTGTGAATGGGTGAATGACCATGGGTGGTTGTAGAACCCTAAGAAGGAACTATACAAATACATTTACCATTTATAGTTGTCAAATCTTCTAAATAAAGTTATGCACAATCCAACATGGTTTATATTTAAGGGTCAAGCAAACTGTTGGTGTTCGGAGTGTGTCTGGGATTCCTCTGAGCAACATCACAGAATTCCAAACCTGTAAAACTGGGGGCTCAACCGGGACTTTTGTTCTCTGTGACACTATGCTGGAAAATAAATGGTCGGTGTTGATTTTCTTTTTTCTGCTTTGTGTGATGCATGTGGAAGAGAGAGTTATGCTAGTGCACACACACACACACACACACACCAAACAAACAACATCACTGGCCTTTTTTCCAGCAGCAGACGATTTCAATACACAGCCATACGCCTGCTTGCACGTGCATATTTTTGTTTCCAAAATGAGTTGTTGCACCTTTATTTAATGTCACATACATTAGTTGTCTGTAAACAGGGATTTGAATAGTTTAAATGTTAAAAACACTCCAATTTTATGAAAATATTTAACTCATAACTAATATAATGTTGTGTATGTTCATCATTTACACTACACAGGGACCACGGGCAATTTGAAGTTTCAAATGTGATAATGACTCTCATCCAGGAAGCCCTTGCTAAAACTAAACTCAGCTATGTGTAAGATACAGTTTCATAAAAGGATGACTGACTTAGCTTTAAAGAGAATTAAAAACATTTGATGTTGCTTCACCCCTGCACATGGGTCGCTGCTGCTTTACAGCTCTACCTCCGCAGTCTTCCACATGGCTCACAGACCTGGGGGTTTTCCATAAGTCAGTGAAAGCCTTGCTGATTAATAGGCTGACATTTACGTTACTTGTGATAGATCTGCTGTCCTTTTCATCAAACTACCCTCTATTCATCACGTCTTCAGTGAAGTAAATATCAACGTGCTACCATGGTAAGGCTGGCTGACTGAAGGAAAAAGCTACAGGAAGCCACTAAAGCTCGGCACTATTTCACGAGCCTTCCCTTTCTCCGAATGAGCCTTGATACTCCTGCAAAGCAATTTTCCAATAATTGCATAAGAAGATAAAGAGTTGTTATGTGAGGAAATTGGTTTCAGGGTGGGGGAAAAGAAACAACAGAAGAAATGCTTTTCTAATGGAAGAGAAATGGTTTGTGTTTTTACAAGACGGCAGCGATTCAGTCAAAAGGATCAATTCCTGTCGTTTTAATTTAAAACTGAACTTTGAATCATCTTGTAATGTCTGAAATGCAGTACGCACTCACGTCTTCTTCCTGTCTTTGAATAGAGCACTGCTGGAACAAAGCCAGACCTAAGCAGGCCTCTTCTGTATGGTGTCAACGAGAAAAACAGAGGATCTCATTTTTGTTTTTATCCAGACATTCGTGGGATCAGTAACTCTGCCGATGAGCAGCACAGGACCCGTGAGATGATTGTGGATTAGGACCATAAATGTTCTGTCAAAGGTGATTCTTTGGGGGACAGAGAAGTCCAGCTGGATGCCAAGGCTCCTTCTCTCTTCACACTGGGACTCTTTTATCTCCAGCGTGGCCTCATGGGGAGTCTGAGGGTGGATAAAAGAGACAAAACTGAACTCTAAGCACATCGGCTATGCGTGGTTAAACTTTTTAATCTGTCATTATCTCCACAATCGAAAACGGCACACTCGGTAGTTTCATAATACTAGATTTTAACTAAGACTAATGAGATATTTTGTCTTTTTTTTAATCAACCTCAAAGCGTTTCTGCTCCTTCTCCTGTAGCATTCCAGAGGCGTTGGCAGTTTGTGAGAAAGCTGATGGGAGCCCAGCGTTCCTTAGGATGCTTTCTAAAGAGCAGGGTTTTCTGGGCTGAAACATCTCTGCCCTCCTGGGATTGGCTGGGTTCATACTAACAGCTTTCATTCATTCATAAGGTGAAAGAAGGTATAGATGGAGAGATTTTCACAATGTCCCAAACAAAAGGTAATGCAAATGACCGAATGAGACCAAAGAGAAAGAGAACGTATAGTTAAGAAACATTTCAGCTTTTTATTTAACTTTATTTAAAGTTTTACTGAGATCAAATCCTTTTTCACAATGTTGACCTTCACATTTCTAACTCTGCGATACACCAGCCTGCCACGCCTAGTCTTAACCCTTAACTCTGGTCCCACAAAAGTTCACAAAATAAGGAAACACCTAATCAGAGTATCTGTAGCAATAAAATGTTTCTAACTCTTAAGGGATATTATGTCACTTTTTCATATTATAAAATCCTTTTCTTGAGCCACTATGTGCTAAGATGACCCTTTACAGGGTTAACGAACTGTTACTCAGACCCCTACCGCCCCCTTGTGGCCAAAAAAATGCACTTGCAACTTCAGAGTGCCGGTCCGGTACCTGTGGACTTTATTTTACAGCATACACACCGGGTACTGCAGTCTGGTTCCGGCATGTTTCCTGCATGTTTTAGATCGTGAGCTGATTTGTTTGATTTAGAG